TTCATTGTTATGCGGATGATACTCAACTATATTTATCAATCAAGCCTGATGAAATTTATCATCTAAATAAAATTCAAGACTGCCTCAAGGACTTAAAAACGTGGATGACCTTAATTCTTTTTATGTTAANGCCATGGAGTGCCACAGGGCTCAGTGCTTGGACCTATTTTGTTCACACTAACAGAAAATAAAGAACTTTATCACAATATTCTAATTTTCGGAAGCCTATATAGTGTGAACAAAATAGGTCCAAGCACTGAGCCCTGTGGCACTCCATGGCTAACTTTGGTTTGCATGGAAGATTCATCGTTGACACGTACAAACTGAGAGCGTTCAGATAGATAGGACCTAAACCAGCCTAAAGCAGTTCCCTGTATGCCAACTAAGTGCTCTAGTCTTTGCAATAGGGTGTCATGGTCGATAGTATCAAATGCAGCACTGAGATCGAGCAAAACAAGAATAGAGACAAGTCCCTTGTCAGAGGCTATTAGAATGTCATTTGTGACTTTAACCAGAGCTGTCTCTGTGCTATGTTGTGTTCTAAAGCCAGACTGAAAATTTTCAAATAAATCATAGTTTTTTAAGTAATCACACAGCTGTTTTGCAATAGATGCTTTAAATCCAACTAAGGAACACTGTAACCCTCCGCCTAATACATAAAGTCAGAATATGTGATTATTTCTGTATCATATAAAAGTTGTAATCGCCCTCCCTTCCTGTAGGAGCGACCCTGTGTGTCATCAGTGCAGACCGCAGCTCTTTGAGGCAGACGGTGGGCAGGCTGGAGCTGGAGGAGGAGTGGAGGTTCAGGCTCAGCGATGAATTTCAAACTGCCAACGCAAAGGAGGACCGTCCGCTCTTCTTCCTGACAGGAAAACATATATGACTTCAACACGTGTTCACTGGGCTCCACAGACTCACTGTCAGGATTGAAATCACTTTAATTGCCAAAAACAAGACATGCACTAACATACGTTCTGAATGGACAATACAATGTTTTGGCCAAGGAAACGAGGAAAATATTTTTCAAAATGTATCTGTTGTGTGGTTTTATTGACTCATGATTATCCCATGAGTTTACAAGAGACTGTTCAGTAAACGTTCAGGATATTTAAGGAAGCTTTTCCTATTATTGATATGGTTTTGTTGAAGTTAGTGTGGTTTATTCAACACCCCATTAATCACTTTCATTGTAACCTGAAAAGATTCATATTTATGATCTACTAGAATTTGAGTAATTTGGTGATACAAGGGTTAAAGAAACAAATACTCTCAGTAATTGCAGGTACTGCTTTTGTCTTTCTTTATATGTGTTTGCAGGTTTATCTGCATTGAAGTTTGTATCGAGTTCTGCACACTTCTCTTGCACCTGCACACAATATGAGAAGTTTTGAGAAGGGTAGACACAATCATTTGTATGTAATGGTAGCCGATTTTTGGCCACAATGTTTTTTATTGGCTCCTTTTTGTAGAGGTTTGTTTTGCATGTATGTTTTTTCATATGAAACAGTATATTTTGTCAGTTTGTATTATGTAAAAAAAAAAGTACTTATTCACTGTGTGTACAATAAGTAAGGTTTTGTTTGAATGTAGAACTTTGGTTATGCCTTTTTCTTCATAGATTGTATATTGATGTAATTGTAATTGTTGAAGAAACAAAAACAATGAACAGTTTTATATGCTTTTAATTGTATAAATGTACAGAATTTTAGATATCTTCCATGTGTGTTTTTGTACGTTTTTAACAAAGAATTAAACAGACCTTAACAAATCACTCTGAATTTCCTGATAAAGAGACAAAGAGTCATTATTCTACTAATAATACTTTTATACTTTGGACTTGAGGTTTTGCAGCCCGAAGACCAGGGTGGATTGGACCAATGAGTCATTGTCACTTAAAGTAAAAACAGGACGGAAACAACATTGATGTGTCCTCCAATTAATACTTTATTTTCAGGATTACCGCCAAGTCCAGACAAGCTTCAAGATACAAAATAGAAGGCAGCCTGGTCAAAACTGTCTAAAGTGCACAAAAACGATATTGTCCCTGTCAGGCGGAGCCTCGTGCTGCAGGGCCTGCGCCAGTTTGACCTGTTTGAAGGAAAGATTTGAGGCTGCAAATATAACCAAAGTCCTTTAATCATAGACCTCACTGCTGAACCGAGATGATCCCTGAGTGCGAAAAACAGTGGTTTCATAACTCTTTGGTTAATAATAAAAACGTTTATTTTACAAGATAAAACGATTGAACAAATATGCAGCATGCCGTTGTCATATGTTTTCAATTTCCACAAATCCATCATGTTTGTGTGTGTGTGTGGGGGGGGGATTGTGTGTGTGTGCACCAGTAGCAGTAGTATAGTCCAGCAGCTCCTGACCCTCTCAGATTTCCTCCAAGTACTCCATTCCAAGAAACCACTTGTTGATCATTTTAGTCTAAAACACTCACTGCACGTTGCACAAGCGTCAACTACTCAGATTGACAGATTGAAGTCTTAAGTCAGGGGACTCGTCCTGAAAGAGCAGAGCTTTCCCATCATTTAAAGAGATTTTAACCAGAATTAGAAGTAGGATCTTCAAACAGCAATCTGCATCAGTCAAGACATGGAGCCATGGCCCACATGGAAGAGCAAGACTTCAGCAGCCACAGTGAGGAGGACAGCCTCAACGGCAGCTGGACTTGGGTAACAAAATTAAAATAACAGTATTTCATCTTATAATCATTATCTTGTTTTTTTCATTTGTATTGTGCCAATCTTATTGCCCTATTACCTATACAGTACACTCATAAAAGGTAGAAAAGCATCACTGTACACCTGTGTTGTCTAAATGCAGAAAACTGCACTTAAATGCAACGACTGCATACAAACAGTGGCAGGGAATTTGTCCTGGTTTTCCCATGTTCCACTGGAGTAGTTGTAGAAAAATGCTGAGCTAAGCAGAGCTAAATAAGAGCTATAAAGAAAAGTGGAACTAAGGGAAATTATGGGATTTACTTTATAGAGAGAGGCAAAGAAAATATGTGTACTGTAAATTGTTACTAAGAATAATCTCTAATAGTAAAACTTTGACATGAGGGTTTTTTTTAAATATAGAAAAGGAAGGATGAGGACGAGGGTCCACCTGACTGGTCTTAAGTTGCTTTCCAAGAATAAAGCCCATGTCCTTAAAAACACTGTGATCAAATTACCCTCCCATTCAGTTAATGTGCAAGTATGAGAAAGAGTGTGTGTCTTTGAGTGTGTCCTTCTGCTTCACTTAAATGCCAGTTCCCAGTTTGGTACATGGAGTTTTTGTGCCTTTGTTTGTGTGCAGTATGACCATATGCTGAATCAACAGCTCATATCTCTGCATGACCTCAAGCCCACATGGGTACTTTTAAAGGCATACACCTCAGCTAGCCAAGCTATTACATAACAGTCCCACCATGCAGAGGCATGTTTTAGTGTCTATGTGCACTCAGGCAACACCTCCACATTTTCTCCCCCTCATTTAGATTATATCTGCCTGAAGTTTCCATCATTTTGTCCTTCTGGTTAACATCAGTCTTATATTTATTATTTTAATAGTCTTACAATTTGGAGGTAAAAATGTGAATGCAAACATAAACTGTGGAACAGCAAACTGCATGTAACCCTATTGATCGAGCACTTTATGTCGTCAGGCAGTCATACTGTTTTACACTCTAATTAATTCAAGCATTTAAGACATTTCAGATAAACAATGTCACAATATCTATATTTGCACAGACAAAAATATGACTTGTTTATGGAGCTAATAACCCTTAGAATCCAACAAAAGATTGGATGTTGTTATTCCTGTAAGTGAGCTGGTGGCCACGTGATGTGGGGTTTTCTCGTTATAATAGGTGACGAATGTCCCTATTTTGGGTCAATGTATAGCGTTGCATGATGATTATTAATCATAAAGCAACTGTTTGTATCTGGATTGTTCATTTAAGTCATGACATCCATTATGGCATTAGTAAGGGAAGTGTCATGCATCCATTTCTTGCCCTTTGAAGCCATACAATTAGATTGTTCTCAAGCCCTAAAGGCATGCCTCAGAACTCCATACTGGGCAGGTTCAATAGTGCATTTGCAATGTATGGCTCAGGCCACCCTCTGATTGGCTGATGCAGCCCATCCCCCTAAGTAACACCCCCATCTCCGTGGTGATAGAAATAATGCATTGCTGATCTCAGAGTGGGTTCTTGGGAGAGATCAGGCTCCTTCTACCTCAGCAAAACACTTTCTCCTTCCTATCTCTCTCACATGTCTGAGATGAGCGACACTGCTGGAGGGTGGCTGGAGAACATATCCCCAGAACTCAAGTACACATACTGTAAACAAACAGACGCATGCATGTAAACAAACAACCAAATGAGTTCTAATTAAGGAAATTCCTGAAATTACCCAAAGCGTTTACCAGTGTTTACAATGCAATCTCCTTGAATATGCTTCTGTTTGATTCAAATGAGTTAAAAAATGTAAGGGGGCTAAAACCAGGTATAATTTCATATCTCATTTAAAATGGGTCCAAACTATTTTAGTGCAGGTAAAGCTCTTTAATTATACTATACCATATAACTATAATAATTATTATAGAAATTATCTTGTCACATGAGAATATTGACACCTGTAGGTGAACTGAGTCTTCAGCCAGAGCTATTTAGCTTAGCTTAGCATGAAATGTGAAAACAAGGGGAAACAGCTAGACAAACTTTGTTTTTTGTACGGATTAAACAAACAAAACATTATGTTCATTAGTGACTTTAAGAGGTGCTGTTAGGTTGACTTTGTTACTGGTCATTGAAATGAGAAAGCAAGCTATCCACCTATCTCCAGTCCATGTGCTAATACAAGCTAACCATACCATACAACAAAATAAGCTAGAAACCATCTCCTCATCTAACTCCAGTCTATCAAACTTTACTTTAGACGATACAAATTAAAAGATGACTTTGTAGAGTTATTACTGTGTTTACGTAACCTCTGTAAATCAATTAAACCAGTTCCTCTGTCACACCTGAACTTTCTGTCTTTGTTACACAACCACACACATATTGACATTCTGCAAATTCTTTCTCTAGCCCACTCGCCTATCTCCATATTCTCTGAATGTTTCCCCCTCTCTCTCCCCCCCCCCCCCTCTAGTTAGGCTTCTTGGTTCCCCGATGAATGACTCAGTCTTGGGAAACCCAAAACACGTGTGTCCTTGTTCTCAGTCTGGCTGAGCATATGGAGCATGTGTGTGGTGTGTCCTTGCGGTGTGTGGTGTGTGTGTGTGTGTGGTGTTGTGTTGTGTGTGTGGTGTTTGAGTTTGAGTTTCTTTTTTATGATTTCCAATTCACTAAATGCGGACATGTCATCTCATTATGTTTTCAAACAGTTATGCTTGTGGCAAATGTTACAACACCTTACAACCAGACACACAACCACACACCTAACACACAAACCATCCACACCACCACCACACACATCATACACCACCTATCTAACTACTCCACCACACCACACCAACACCCAACCACTACACACTTAATACACCTCAACACCACCATCTATATACACACACACACATAAACAATTCTATTCACATTTCACTCTTGAATAAATGTTGGCCTTCTGCTCTTAACATTCGAGATAAGTGCCCTATTTGTGTGTGTTGTGTGCTGGTGTGTGTGTGTTGTGTGTTGTTTGATATTGATGTGATTGTTGTGTGTGTCGTGTGTGTGTGTGTTGATGTTGTGTGTGTGTGTGTGTGTGTGTGTGTGTGTGTGGATGTGTGTTGGTGTGGTGTTAGTTTGTGTAATGTGTTAACTAATTACTCTTAGAGAGTTTTTACCAATAGTATATCTCTAAAGA